TGCCCCTGAGTCATCCCAGGAGAATGTTCCTGGGAACCCCACCCACCTGGGCCCTGGTAGCCTACTCCAACCTGGCCACCTTGCCCTGCCTATGGGGCAGCCCTACCCTGTTTCCACTGCAGGGAGTCTCGCTCCAGTGACCCCCTGCTGGTCTTTCCTAGATGCAGCTGTACTTCTGCAAAATAATGAAACAACCCCTGACTTTCTTGACCAGCAGCTCCTCTAAGCCCAGCTGCCCTGGTTCTGGCTCGGCAGGAGGGGCCTCCTGGGCTCTGCCTCAGCCACAGGCTGGGACCCACTCTGGCCGCCCAAGTTGCGGGCCAGCCCATTTGCAGACCCAGGCCTTGGGTTTCAGGCATCTCATCTCTAACCCCAGGCCACCCCCGACATAGTCAGCTGCGTCCCGGCCTCAGACCAGGTCGTGAAAGCTGCCCAGAGAGGAGGGCACCTGGCAGGGCAGATGGAGCTGGGTGGGGCCCAGCAGGCAGTGCGAGGCCTGGGATCCCTGCAGGACAGCCCAGCCCAGCCCGGCCCAGCCCAGCACCCATCCTCCCTCCACGCCCAGGCTGCTTCCTCTCCTCTGCCTCTCTAGCCTGTCCAGCTCCTGCTGCCCAGACCTGTGGGGCTGCATTGTAGGACCAGGGCCAGGTGTGACTGACCCTGGGCTGGCCCAGGCCAGCAGGTCAGGACCCCATTCCCTCAAGAGCCTAGCGGCCTAAGGGATAGATGGATGAGCTACCACCAAAGGCCGTTCACATCAAATCAGACTTTAAGGGGCTGGGGATTTAGCTCAGCGGTTCGGTGGCCTGCCTTGCAAGCACAAGGACCCGAGTTCAATCCCTGGTACCAAGGAAAAAAAAGAAAAACAAACAAATCAGACTTTAGCTTGGAGCCAAGCCTGGTTGGACTCCTTGTAAGACTTGAATAGGCTAAAGTGACTCCATGCTAATAGGCCAGACTGTGCTTCTTCATATGCTAATTGCTACCTTGGTTAACAGCCCGCCCAGGGGCAAATGGTTTGACAAAAGGTGACCCTAGAACATTTCCTGCATAAGATAAGCAATGTGTTTGCAGTCTTGTTCTGTGAATTCCCTGACTCTTTGTTTAGAAAGGAAAAAAAAGAAAAACAAACAAATCAGACTTTAGCTTGGAGCCAAGCCTGGTTGGACTCCTGACTTGATCATGCCCCAGGTTGTGTGATCTTGGAAGGTGGCTTAACCTCTCTGTGACCTTGGAGTCATAGCTTGCCCTCTCCATAAAATGGGAATAGCTATGAGCTGAGCTGTTAAATTCCAGCTCCTCTATTTTCTACCTGGGTAAACCTGGGCAAATATCTTCACTTCTCTGAACCTCAGCTTCTCTGTCTATAAAATGACCCCAGCTCTGTAGGGTCTTAAAGAGTCAGTGAAGTAAGACAGGAAATGATGACAAACAATGACAATCTTGTTGAGTGTTGTGTGTGCCCAGCCCTGAGCTGATGCTTGGTGTTATCTTTCCAGCTTTGTTGAGACTGGACGTGCCGAAGTACCCCTTCTTAACTTGTACGACCTGATAAGCTGTGATGAGATCACCCGGCCATGAACTTGTCACGTAATGAAGAGTGACGGTGATGACTCCCCTGCTTCCTCTCGCCAGTGTGCAGTGTGGCCACTGAACTCCCACGACATGAAGGCCGTCGGTGAGTACTCGGGGTTCAGACTCATTTGCTGCCAGCAGCAGCCGGTGTGGAAATAGGATCAGGTGCTCAAGGTCCTACTGAAGGAATGATGGGCAGGCCAGTGCACCATGGAGGCCCCAGGGAAGGTCCCCAGAGGGCCAGGCAAAGGCTTCTAGCTGGAGCAGAACTCTGACAGGAGCGGGGGGCTTGGTTTCTCCAGTTATTCATTCATCCAGTATTCCTTGGGCACTTACTGTGTGACAGGTCCCATCCTAGTCATTGTGGACTCCGATCCATACATCGGCCGCGGGCGCTCAGTGAACTCTCCGCAGAGGAGGGTAAGGATGGCAAGATGGTGCCGGTTCCAGCCACAGGAAGGTGACTCTCCTGTGTCCCTGAGGTCAGAGCACTTCCAGCAAAGCGTGCAGCGTGGACAGAGATGCCCTCGAGTGGGGGTTCTGGGGACTCATGGGGGAAGCAGACCCAAGGTTGGGGGTGGTTGGAATGAATTCAGGAAGGGGGCAGCCTCCCTGCAAGGACCTTGGGGGTTCTGTTCTCCTGCATCACTGTCACTGCCATGGCAGCCAGGCTCCTATCACCCCTCTTGATGGGGCACCTACTGTATGTCCAGCCCAGGGGAGACAGTGGCAAACAGCCTCATGTCCTCGGCACCTCATCTGGGGAGTGAAATGGGACAGAAAGAGAAAGTCACACTTTAACTGTGAGACAGCCAGGCATAGTGGTGCACACCTGTAATCCCAGAGGCTGAGGCAGGATGGTTGCGAATTTGAGCCCAGCTTGGGCAACTTCATGACTTAGGGAGACCCGGTCTTGGAATAAAAAGTATTAGAAGGATGAACTAAAGTATTTACCGGGGTGTTTTTATGATTTAGTCAGTTAATAAAAGTATCTGCTTCCCCCCCCCCAAAAAAAAAGTAAAAAATGGGCTGGGGATACAGTTCACTACAAAGGCCCTGGGTTCGAGCTCTAGAACAAGGAGGAGGAAGAGGAGGAGGAGGGAGAGAAGAAATAATAAATGGCCCAAGGGCCCACTAGTAGGGGAATGGAGATGCATCCCCGGCCTCCACAGTCGGGACGGGTGGACAGGCTGGGGAATGTCAGGCTGACAGACCTCAGAGGTGGGAAGTGCGCAATGTGGTCGGAGAGATGCCGTAGCAGGTGCTGCGTTTTTGCTGTTTATGATTTAAAACAGAGCTGCCTGCGTCTCTTGAGCAGTCCCTCTCCTGACTGCCCACACCCTTTGCATCTGTCTAAGCCCTTTGTCCTCTTTCCCTGCTGAGGCCAAGCATTCCTGCTTGGGACCCACTGGCCAAGCCCCCTCCCTGGCCACTGGCCACTGTCTGCTACAGGCTCAGGCTTAATCCTCTGCCAGAGTGAGGGCCTCAGGGGTGTGAGTCAGCCCCAGGAAGCTTTGGACAATGCTCCCTTCTCCTGGCCTTGGGGACCCACCCAGCCCTGCTCCCATCTGGCCCATCCTGTCACCTGTACAGGGTCGGGTCCCCGCAGGCGTGTGGTGGGGACGCTCTGGTGCCTGAAGGTGCTGAGCAGTGGGAGGCGGCTGGGTCAGTGAAGAAGGTGGTGTGAGCTGTATGGTCTATGTCAGTAGTGGCGAACCTATGGTACTTTGTGATAAATCAGTGGTTTGTGGTTTGCAGTTCGGCTAGTCGGGCTCTAACAGGTTCACCATCCCCGGTCTATGCTGTCCTTTGGGAAGACAGCTATGTTCTGATGTAAATATGTGTGTAATGTACTTAGGTGAACGTACTCCGTGGCCCTAGTTTTTTTTTGAGACAGGGTCTCACTAGGTAGTTGAGACTGACCTGGAACTCACTATGTAGCCCAGGCTGGTCTCGAACTCACAGCGACCCTCCTGTGTCAGTCTCCTGAGTCTGTGGCCCTAGTTTAATTGATGTGTACACGAGAGGCTGTGTGCATCCATTAGCTGTGGTGTCGGGGAGCCTGGCCATCCTGGTCAGGGGCAGTAGGGCCTCAGGCACTGAGCTCAGGGTCCCCATAGTCCTTTGGATGGGCTGGGTTTTCTTTGGGGCCATGGTCCCTGTCACCTGTCCAGTCCCTGATCCAAAACCATCGGTGGGCAGAATCCCACACTGAAGTGGGCTGGTTGGCCTTGTCACTGGCACAGGCTCCAGTCTGTACCACTGAGGAAGGGTCCCGAGGTGGAGGGAAAGCTCCCTTTCTTGGTTCTCCATCTCTCTTTCCCAGCACGGTCTCCAAAATCCCTCTCAGGTATGCGCAGCATCCCCTGGATCAGAGATCCAGGAGCCTTCAGGCCTCAGCCAGACCTCTACAGCAGCTGCCTCCTTCCTCCCCAGACCTCTTCTCTGCCCCCTCCTCCACTATAGTCTATTCTCAACACAGCAGCCAGAGGCTAAGGCGGCAGTCATTGGACTTTCCTCTCCCTCACCTCCCAGCCAGTCCAAGTCCCTTAGCTCAAATGGGACAACTCAGGAGACACCCACCCTTTTCTCCTCTGCCATCTCCCTCTGCTCACACTCTGCCCTGTACACACCGATCACCTTCCAGTTCCCCAAGCACACAGAGCACACCCTGCCTCAGGGCCTTTGCACTGGCAGACTCCATCTCTGTACACCACACCCTGCTCTTCCTTCAAGTCTTTGATACTCATGTCCTCTTCTCAGTGAGGCCCACAGGCACCTGTCTATACTCCCTCACTTCTACTGTTCCCACCAGAGTGCTCAGTGTAATCTGATCCACCACAGAAATGAATCCCACTGCAACTCTGCTGCTTCTTCTGTGGTTGATCTAGTTTTGTTTTTCTCCCAGGATGGAACCCAGGGCTTCTCACAGGCTAGGGAAGTGCTCTGCCACTGAGCACACCCCAGCCCTTGCTTTAGCCACTTCCTCCTGCATATTCCTGTGCACCCCCTACTGCCTGGTCCTCAGAGTCTCTGCATGGGGTCTGGATATAGGGAGAGTGGAAGAGCTGAGTCCCCACACTGCCCCCCACCGTGCTGACGAGAAGCACAGGATCCTTCGGGGCTTGAGTGGACAGGGCATACCGAGCCTCCATTTCCCAGTGCTGGGGTACAGTGGCAGCTTTGGAGTGTGCCCTGGGCTGTCCCCTGCCAGTACCTGGGCACCCAGGGTGCACAACCTGTCCCTTGTCCCTTTCCCTCAGCCCCAGCTGGGACTGCAGGGCTTGGCTCCCATGTTCTGTTCCAGGGTGGGCTGAGACCTCTCCCTGCAGCTTACTGGTGCCATCACAGACTAAGGGGCAGAAAGGGGATCCTGTGCAGCCTGCAGAGCTTTATTTATCTGGAAATGTGAGGCTATATGTCTGTATTGTTTTTCAAGCCACAAGTTTGTGATTGCCACAGGGACCAGTCGTGGGCTTAACTTCTCCGCGGTGCAGGGGCTGTCTGCGCCATCAGAACTACAAGGGACAGAGGAGGGTCCTGGAGGTGGAGTAGGAGGTGCAGGGTGGGTTCTCTTCTCCCACCCTCTGCCCCCTGGCCTTGGGCGCCCTGGAGGCAAACGAGTGATCCCACCTGGTGAAATAGCTGTAACGTAAGATTTACCATTAAGTCACTTGAAGAGCATGAAGCACATCACATTTTCCCGTGGCTACCGCCATTATCTATCCCCAGGACCCGTCCATCTTGTGCAGCTGAGATACCGCGTTCGTCAGTCACCTCCCCATGTCCTACCCCTAGACCTGGCAACCACTATTGTTCTTTCTGCCCCTAGGGCTTTGACCTTCTGGGGACCTGGTGTAAGAGAAACTCAGCAGCACCTGGCCTTTTGTGGCTGGTGTCTCAGTGCGCTGTCTTCCAGTCCATCCCCGTGGTGGTGTGAGTGTTGGTGACTCCCTAGACTGGTTAACATTCACACTATAGGAGACACTGGCCAGACAGCAGGGAGTAACAGGACCAGAATGCACACCAGGCAAACAAAAGTCTACCTCCACAAGGCAGCTTTAGCTGGGGTGAAGATCCCACCTTGGGTGTGACTTTAAGCCCCAGCAACCCCAGGGGACCAGGCCACCCCTCCATACCTCCCCATCTGGGTGCAGGGTGTCTGGATCTCTTTCAGCTAGACTTGGAAATCACATCCTCTGGGCGCATCAGCTTCATCCCTAGCGGGGAGAAGACATTGGAAAACCATAGGCCTGGGCTTGAGTCTCTTAGGAGCAAGTGTGACCTTGGGCAAGCCTCTCGACCAGTCTGTTTGTTAGTTTCCTTGTACAATGATGATGATCAAAATGGTTTTGCCTTTTGAGGGCTGGGGATTTAGCTCAGTGGTGCTGCCACCTGCCTTGCAAGCACAAGGACCTGAGTTTGATCCCTGGTACCAAACCAAACCAAACAAAAACCTTTTAAGGCTTTTTGAAAAATTGAGGGGAAAGTTACAACACATAAAATTATCCAACTTAATGTGTACACATTGGTGGTGATTTCTACCAAGTTCTTTTTATTTACAGGGGTTGTTTTGAGATTTAAATTCATTCGTGTTTGTAAGTCTTTAGAATGGTGCCTGGAATAGTAAATGCAGGGGAGGAGTGCTTGTCCTGGGTCCATCCCTTGCCTGTGTGTGAGTCACACACACCAAGGAAAGAAGGAAAGGAGCGGGGAAGGAGGAAAGAAGGGAGAAGAATTTAACAACAAAAATGAGGGTGGAATAATTAGTAGTAGAACATTGCTAAGAATAGACGACGCGTGGTACGTGATATTGTTAATTCCCTTCTCTTGGGCGGGAGGAGGAGGGAGCAAAGCTCTCGCTCCCCTGGGGCCCCAGTTTTCTGCATTGAGCTGTAAGGCATCGCACACCCTTTCCCCCCACGCAGTCACATCCTCCCTCAAGGTGAGGCAGAGAGGAGGCGGTGACTTACCTTTCCTGCTGGCAACATCAGCTAACTGTGGTGATGCCCAGGCAGAGCTGCGGGTTCTCTGGATGAACCCGACGGGAACAAAGATCCCAAGACCGCAGGTCACCTGGCAACCCGCCGCTGCGGGCGTTTCAGGAACTATGGGCTGTCATTTGCCGCCACCTTGTGGTGGGAACTTTACATCCCCTTTCCATCTTTAAATCAACCCAGCCGGTCCCGAAGCATCTAGCTACCGACTTCCAGGCCCTCAGGAAGATTCTGTGAACACTGCCCTCAGTCACAGTCTGTGGAGAAGGACTGCCAAAGGGACAGAATTAGCACAAGGGGAGGCTAGGGATGGGGAACAGGAGGGACCGGAGGACCGAGAATTCGGCCCACCCACTCCCTGGACCTGACGGTGGGCAAGGATGTCTGGTTTCCCATGGGAGATGATGAGCTCATCCGGGCCTGGCACAAAGTAGGTGCTTGGCACATGTCGAGTGAGGGCTTGGATAAAAATGCTATCCGGAGCTCGGTGGCTCTCACAGGCCAAATAGCTGGGTCATGGGGAGGGAGGGTGTTATGGGAAGGAAGCTGGGCCCCCGGCGACCCCGGGAGCTCTAGAAGGGTTTGCATAGGAGCCGTACTGAGAAGGACGGGCAAACGTCATCCTTCCTCACTGCTGTGGTTGCTGGAACCCCTTCCCTGCTCACTGCATTTCTCCTTGGATCTCACATATGATGCGTTTGCCTTGTTTATTTAAACCGCCACAGTGATATAAACTCCACGGGGCAAGGACATTTGTCTGGTGTGCTTTTTGGTGACAATCCAGCTCTGAAGGGACCCTACACCGAAGGGACGTTCTGTAAACGTGTGCAGAGTGAATGAATGACGCACCGAAGGTGGTGGGGCGTGGCCAGGGGAGGAGACCGAGTTAACCTGAGCTAGGGAAGTGCATGCTGTACTGAAGTAGATGGGAAACTTCTGGGAAGGGCGGGGTTGCCGGGCTCAGGGCCTTTCTGGGCGGGTCTAGGCTAGGGC